AAATTTATTATGCGGTAAACATGAAAGAGCAGGACAATAGTCATTTGGGTTATAATTCCTGGAAAACAGGTCCATTGTTTGCATGATGTTGATATTAGTAGTGAAATCATAGAAATCAATCTTCTCACTTTTGTTCACAATCAAACAAGAAACATCTCATCAGGTACATTTCAAATACCACTCACATAGTGATAATTATGATGATGAAGGCATCATTATTGTTTCAAACAATACGACATATTCGCGATATATCCGAGATAATTAACCATGGCATTTGACCAATACCAATTCCGATGTAGTATGCATGATTTGAGATTTAACTTTTACAGCAACAATTGGTTACAAATGAAAAAATGAAATGTGAAAAATACGTATAAATAAAATAGGGAAGAAATAAAAAGTAGATGAAGAGCAGGGAAATGAATGCATATTGCATGGCAGAGCAAATATGAATGCATTTACAGACTCCAACTGTAATATATTAATTGAGGAATATTTTATTGGAAAATGGAAGTATTAATAATTAATGCAAATGTATTATGAGCCAAGGAAAGAAGAGCCACAAATGGACAAGATAAGTAGTAAGTATAGGCAGAGATAAGACTATTTCAATCTATTTCATATTATAACTTTATGGCTTAACTTGTGGCTTAACAAAGTAATGATGAGACATTAAGCAATCATTATGATCAATCAGTTATTATAATTATTAGAAAAAACTTCAATCAATTCATTCAATCATCTTGTTATAAAATTAATAGAAATAAATTTGATTAAAACAAAGAAACATTATTATTATAAGGCATTTTGAAATTTAGTAATTAATCAACGAATTCAGAAGCACATTTATAAGGCTGTATTTGGATCGACCAAATCACTCCATAAATGTATCAAAACAGCCAATGGAACAAAACACCATATAAGATCCGGAAGCCAGAAAATGAAGAATCGCTTCCATATGCCAGCTGATTCAGCTAAGTAATTAACTGATCCTGAAACATGAGTGAGAAAGTGTGCAAATCAGAAATTAATTAATTGTTAAAGATCTGTAATAATCAAGTATATCATAATATCCAATATTTCTTCAACTTTCAACTGATTCAACTAAGTAATTTATTGATTTAACATACTGGAAACAGAAAAATAATTCGTTTTAATTCATTTAGAGATTAAGCAAAAATCTTTCAAATCCTTTTTTTCCATCCATCTTTTTTAATATCAAAATGAAAGTATTGGCATTGAACTGGTCGGTCACATTTCCATCTTTCATGCACTTTAAAACTAAATGATATTCAGCATTACATGTGACATGCCATTTAGGATTCTGCAGCAGAACTTAATCGAAACTTTAATAACATTGGTTATTACAAGGGATACTTTTGTTTCAAGAATTATCATAATATTTTTCCCATATCTTTTTGTTTTTCTCCGATGAGTTTGATAATTTAAGTGTTTGTTACAGCATCTATAATTAGTGTTAAGCAAGATTTAGTAATAATTAATATTAAACAAATCTCTAATTAACTTAACATGAAAAATAACAGTCAGTTTCTGCTTGATAATGAAAAAGAAAAGTAAATGGTGAAGAGAAGGATATCAATTTCATTCGATTATCAGAATCAATTTGGCATAAAAGCTTCCGTGAACATTCCCAATCAATCTCAAAAATTTTTGAGATAAAGAAGGGAAAAAAGGAAAAGGAACTTTTAGTACTTGAAAAAAAAAGAATGAAGAGCCAAGTCGTCAATAGTTTTGTCGAACAATGCTAATCGATTATTTCTAATCCCTGAGATGTATGTGTAAGTAACTTCAAAATTTTTTCCAATATATCTGATTATATTATGGGCACTGCATTTTAGTAATTGCCTAGTTTTGAGATTGCAAATCACATCGAAAAAAGCCTATTTTCATTGCTTGAGTAAAATTTTGAAAACTACACGAATTATTCTATTAAATAATTAGAGAAAAACCGTAAATAGATATCATTTTAGTTTTGAAAGAAAATAATTTTACTGAGAAATTTTGAGGAACCATAAACAATACAATTAAATATTGCAAATAAGTAATAGTTCAGTGCACTGAAAAAACAAAAATTACTTTGATATCAAAAAATACAAATAACACAATGTGTATAAATCATTGCCAAAGCTTTAGAAAAAATTATTCTGTTACTTTTTTTCCAAAATTTCAATCAATAGAAAATTATTTTAAGGAAAATTCTAGAATTCCAAAGAACATTTTAAAAATTTTCAGAAGTTCGAAAAAAATTCTAACAGATTAGGAATTGAAAAATTGCAGGAAAAATTTCTGCTGTTTGAAAAATTCCGAAAAGAGCTAATTTTTGAATGATCCCTAAAATGGTGCAAAATATGGCCATCACATTGCATAACTTATTTGTTCCAAGTTACAGAACTCTCGAACTTTTTTCTGAGCATAATTACGATATTTTGCCTGATCATACCAGAAAAAGTGAAACTAATAATCTTTTACAAATTTGTTATCCTTCCATCTGATATTTATTATTTTTGATTTCAAATCGATTTCCTTTTGTCAATCAATGCTGTTAATATGCAACTTTTTTTGTTTCATTTGTACAAAAAAAAAATAACTAGATAAAAATTAGAAAAGCGATTTTAAATTTTGAATTTTCAATCCTAAATTTGAGAACAAAGAATAATTTCACTAATAATCATTTAGTTGTAGTTAACAAATATTATTACATAATTAAGAGATGCAGCATTACTATCTTACAATTTTAAATTTCGTTTCTCAATATATTTTAAATTATTTGCATTTACTTAAACTTTTACTAGTTAATAAATCTTCGCATGAAAGTTACTACTATATGCGTTTAAAATCCTTTCACACGAAACATCTTCAGCTATACTCAATTTTCAGCAAAACTGTTTAATTTCATACATCTAACGCTTGAAGCAGAAATTGAAATGTGGCATAAAGTAATTTTGAATTAATTCTCATTTTATGGTAAAGCGATCACATACATGATTTTTGACAATCTAAACAGTTCATTGTGACATGTTTTATAGGAAGTTTTACGGAGACCTACAAGAATTTTAATTTTTAAGTAATAAACTCTCTTCTTTCTCTCTCTCTCTCCCTCTTAAATATAAAAAAGGATTTAATTTAGAAATAAAATTTTAATCGATAAAACAAAGTCCTTAATAGTTTCTTTTCTCAATCGATGCCGTATCTTGCGATTTAGTCATTAGTAAAAAGTAATGCTTTGATAAATTTTGATGAAAAACGTTGAATTTCAATTTTTCTTAGCTTCAAAATAACTAGAATGCATCTCATAAAAAATTTTGAATTTATAACTGAGTACTAAAAGTGAAAGGATATAAGAATATTGTATCAAATAATATCACTCTTACATTTTTTTACTATTTGCCAATCTGATTTTATTTAAAATTATTTCTATTTTTTAATGAAAACTTCGTGAGAGTAAACGAAATTGAATTAAGTGTGGTAAGTGTAATTTAACATGCTATATGGTAACCAAAATTTTTCCCATTTTAACAAACATAATATTAAAGGGAATTAATTAAAAGCTTATTTCATTAAATGTTTTAAGGATTTGTTCAAGAAATAAATAAATGAAATGTTAAGAAACATTAATGAAGGAACAAATGGATAACGGAAATTAGGAAACGAAAATTCTATAAAATATCACTTCATATTTATTGTTGCTCTCACATTGCTAATTTATGGAACTGAATTATAGGATTATTTTGAAGTTGTAAAAAAATAAGACGAAAAAAACAAATTAACTTTAAAATGGTGTTTAAGTAATGTGAATGTGTTTATGAAATGCTATATCCTTCTTTGAACAAAATTTTTGAGGGTATGCTATTTGAGCAACCTCCTCATATCTAATAATCGATGAATCTTTCTGCATATAAAATTCATTTTATTCATTTAACTTTTATACTAACGGAGTACTGATTAGCACTGAAATAATAGATAAGTGCTAGGGAATATGAGGAAGCTTAAATTGTCATATTGCTTTGTTGGAAAAATTGAAAAAAAAGGTAACAAACCTTGCGGTGGTGCAATAAACAATGTCATGTAAAGAAGAGTTTTCCAGAAGACAAATGCATTTGTGAGAAAAGCCGTTAATTTGGCATGACGTGGATGATCTCGACACTGAAAAACAAACCTTCCCTGTCTTGAATTTCATTTGATCTACTTTTGTTAATAAATAAGTAATTTGCAGTAATTTTTTCAAATTTCCAACTTTGTTATTTGCAACTCTTCAAAAGTTTAACCATAAAAATTAATGAGAAACAGCATAAATTTTGCCAGGTTTAGTATTTTTAAAGTGTTTCTAGAAATAATTTTCAATTGATTTTTTAAAAAATGTTGTAAAAAGAGTTGTCGCGAATTGATGATAACCTATATTCATTATGAAAATCATTATTATTCAACACTATTAAATAACTTTATTTTCAAGATTTTGTTAAGCTTTGTTGGGTATCCGCTCTGATAAATATTCTAATGAAATTGAAAAGATTTGATTACTCATTATGTTACTCTACCAACTAATTAATGAGCATGTTTTTTTTTGTCCGCAAATAATCGACCTACTTGAAGATTTTTAAATATATTTTGTAAAAAATCTGCGACAATACATCTGAAATGGTTTAATTTTCAAATAAACAAATGTTTACCAAATAGAGAGCAACAATGTTTAAGATTATCTCGATGATCATTAATCGACCAGTAGCCATCGTAACAATATCATCGGTTGTAGCGTATCTCAGATCAACATCACTATAGATATTCCCTGCAGCACCAAATTAATATTTTTCAAAATCATAATTTGAGTTTTTTCTTCGTTTTTTCCCTCAGAAATGTAGAAGAAAATTATTTGATATCAGCTTCTCTCTCCATCATTATTCAATAAAATGATTTTTTTTTAATGTTTGAGGCACTAAAAGAATTATTTCTATCAGTGATCAGTACCGGATAAAAATTCCTACTTCACTCAAATATTCTTTCCGGCTTCAATTTCAATCATGTAATCAATAAATCAAAGATTGGATCAGTTCAGTGAAAGTTAGTTCACAGTGATAAAATTTATGAATTAATAATTAACTACTTTTCAAAATATTTGATATAGATAGATATGACCTTTTGAAGTTTAATTTAACCCATTCCAATCATAGGCTTAGGCCTAGGCTTAGGCTTAGGCTTAGGCTTATTTCACAACGATCACAGAGCATAAAGCAAGCGGATCACAAAATTTTCAAATTTTTTAAATTTTCTAACAGAGGAAATTGTTCTTTAATACTTAGTAATTTTAAGGAATTTTAAATGTCGAGTAATCAATTTATTTAAGTGGGAATGGAATTAAAGACTTAGAAAAAAAAAGACTATTGATGCATGCAAGGATCAGTGGAACAGAGGGTTCTATTAATTTTTTAAAAAGAATTTATGGATTAATAATGAGTACCTTTTAAAGCATCATTGGATACTTCATTAGATACTTTGATTTCCTGTGTTTATTTGATAGATGAAAGTGATGACCTTTCCAGAGTAATATGAGTTAGTTTTTAAGAATGATTAGAATTACAAGATGGATCAATATTTAAATCACCATTCTATCAAATAAACATATTTGCTTACTAAATTATTCCATAAAAAATATATACTTCAGCAAGGAACGGTATTTTCAGAAGTTGTTTTCTAATTAAAAAATTTTTTGGAGCAAATTAGTTGTCTAAATTAGCTGGTTCTTTTGTTTCATTAATTATACAAATGCATAGAAGAGAAACGAACATAATTCATAGAAGGTTCCAAGTGTATTACCCCGAAGGGTATATGGACGAAGCATTGTATAAGCAACATCAAAGCTACAGATCACTGTTGAAATTTTAAGCCAAATGCGAATCCATCGTGGCATTGATAAATTACGTCGGTTGCAATAATCGTCTCGCATATTGATTATTTCGATAATTCAAGGAATAAATACATGCAAATATTAATAATGATGTTATTGGGACAGAAAAGTAAGGCTTATGTTTGTACTCCTGGAAAACACACAACCGATATTGTTTTCTGATACCGTACAATTATTCAATGAAGATTTATAAATGATTTTGGAAAATTTAAGGCTTTCTAAAATTTTATATTGCAAAATAATTTCGATTAAGATAGAATTAATAAAAGAAGCGATCAATCTGTCAAATTCATTATTATATTCCTGCAATTTTCTCCGTACCAAAGATTTCTGTAGCTGAAAATCATTTTAACATCAGAAATATAAGAAAAAAGCTTAATTGAAATTTCTAACATCAGAGATATAAAAAAAGAAATTAATTGAAATATGAGATGCTTAAGTAGAATAGAAAAAAAATAAATCTTGAAACTTTGTTTAAATATTTTGCTACTTGTTAAAGGATATCTCGGATAAAATTCATGCAATAAGTATGTATATCATCCGAATCTTTGCTTTGCGCTTAAATTAATTCAAATTAAACTACGTGATTCAATCTTTCCGTTTTTTGTGAAAAACAATTTCCAAATTTGATATATGATTAGTAGAGATGATTTGAAATCGCATTCTTATAGTAATCAATTTAATTATGATACATAAGTGTAATTTTATATGAGCCAATAACAATCATATATTTTCCTATGAAAGATAAACTCTCGAAAAATGACAATCATGAGAATTTAGTTGATTGCAAAAAAAAATTACATCAACCGGATATTATAACATATGCGTTTCTCGACATTATGGGAAGAGTGCTTGGTTTGATGATTAATAGAGGTGAAAAATGAGGTCAAGTGACACTTTCCGCAATGTCGATGCTACGTCGAATTTTAACACAATGATTTGCAGCAAAAATTTTTCCCGTTCCACGCTCTGACATACGAAAATTGACAAAAACCTGAGGGGGAAAGAGAGAGAGAGAGAGAGAGAGAGAGAGAGAGANNNNGAGAGAGAGAGAGAGAGAGAGAGAGAGAGAGAGAGAGAGGTGACAGCGAGGAGAAATACTGCAGCACTTTGATATAAAGGAAATATCATGAAAATTCAGAAAAAAAAATAAAAGAATAAAAGGATGGGTGATAATCTAAAGGTAACAACAAGCATCGTACGAGAAATTAAGAAGAATGATCAAAGTTTATCATTAAATTTTTCATTTTGTAAATTAATCTGTAATGACCGAGAATGAAAATGGGAGTGTTTACTTTTTATTATCAGCTCTTATTGAATACGTTAATTTCTCTAATGAAATTATTTTGGTTTATTAAAGTCCACTGATGATAGAATCGACAATCACGGATTGTAATTGAAGATGTTATTTTACTTTAGTAATCAATGAATTAAATGTATTAGGGATTAATATTTTCAGCAGATAAAAATTTTAATTTGTTTTCTCTTTACTTTCTTTTTCTTCGCAATTATTTTTTAAATTAAAGCGAGGAGCAATTAATTAAAAATAGCTTTATTTTAGCTAGAATTTTAATAACAATGACAAATGGAATATTTATTGAAATAAGAACAAACAATTTCTTGAATGAATTAAAGTATAAATAGGAAAAATATTTTTCACAGAAAAATATGAATACAAAATTATTGCAGATGGTAAAATAAATAACAGGTGATAATTCTTGAAGTACGATTATAAACAGTAATTTGTTCGCATTGAAAAATCGATAACAAAATTTTGACCTAATTTTATAATTTCTATTTCTGCAATAGAAGGTTGCAAAAGTTGAAAATTAGTCAATTCACGTCAAATTTTGCTTTTATTATTGCTCTAATAATTACTATGTCTACACTGTTCTGTTCTTTAAAATTTTGATCGAAAATTTAAAAGTAAGTGAGGAATGCTAAATGATGATATGCAATTTACAATAAATTTAAATTAAGAGAAAAAAAATTAAAACTAGCAATTGTAAAAAATAGAAATAAAAAAAAATTTTTTCATCTTTTGCATCTTAAAAGTTATGCCCGCATTTTGCAGTTTAGAACTTACAGATATTAAGTAATTAATTTCATCGATTTCCATATTTCATTTCATGCTTAAAGTGAATAAATAATGACAAACAGCACGAAGAATTTTGTTATTTCAAAGAAAGTACCATGTTATTATGCATCTTCATCTATTCGTATTCCAATTCTACCAAATTTTGTCGCAATTCATCCATCATATTTTGTCCATAATTGCTTGTGCATTTATTTCGAGTCCAATGATCTTTGCAAAATGCTTTCTTGCAGCCTGTGAAAAGAAATTTTCAATTTATATTCAAATTTCATGACGTTTCTCAATTTAATTCTTTACTTTTATTATGGTTCACTAATACAAAGTTTCATCAACATCAATAATTTTCGACAAAAAATTTTGCGAGAAATTTTTTTCGTAGAAAAAGGACGAAACGAAAGTTTAGATTTTGAAAAGATTGTGATAAACTGCATATCAATCACTTTACTAAATCTTCTGTTTCGACTATTATTTGAGAGAGAAAAGAAATGAATTATTGAATTCGGGGAATTTTATTTTACATTTGATAGAGCAAAGAGTAGCTGATATTTAAAAGAAATTTGTATGAATTATTAAATGCTTGGCTAAGATTACACTAGCCTATCATGATAAGTAATGGGATTGTAAAATTGGAAATATGAAATTAATTATAAATGAATCAATTAGTTAATTAGACAAATGTGAACTTTCTGCTAAGTTAAAAAGTATATTAATTACAATTAATTATAATAATATTAATGGAAACAGTCTGAAATGTTAAATATTATTTAACCTTCGCAATAGGCGGAATCAGTTATTCTTCTACACATTTCACAGGCCATTCGTCTGTACAACGTTACGGAACGATTCATCTTGAATAGATGACCATTCATCGTTTCAATTTCCCTCAGTTGAGTCATATTTAAATTTGTTGTTACTATTGAAGCATGTAACTGAAAAAAAATAATGATGAAAAAAATTTTTTAATTTTAATTTTTTATTTTTTGGAATAAAACTATCAAATTGAAAATGTTTTGTGAGTCAATATGTTTCAGGCTTAAGTAATGAGAAACTTTGCAATATGCGATAGGAAATGGACAGTTGTTGATGATGAAATATTATCAGAAAGGATTAAAAGTTTTGAAAGAAATTGAAATTCGACATTTTTCTTATTTCACAACATGAGAAAAAAATGATCGTAGAATTGCTCAAAAACTTGAAATATAATCAATCATTTAAATAATTTGATTCATAACTTTTGCTAGGTATTCTCAAATTTATTGTGAATGAAAGTATAATTAACCTGTGATGGTAGTAATCTGCTTAACTTCAAACGTGCTAAATCATTTTTAGTCTCAGAAGCAATCCGACTGATCAGTTTGATCATTATTTCTCTACGCAAATGATATTCATTGCTTATGGCCAATAATGTTACAACCTGATCTGCTTTCAACTCACTGAAAAAATTTTGCACATTTTACAAATTATTTCGTGTTATCGTCAAAGTTATCAAACTTCTCCACAATATTATCAGAAATCTTTGATCTGTAATATGCAATTTATTTAATTGTTCTGGTAGCAATTTATTGTCCAGTGGTGTAAACTATTAAATAATGTAAAATTTAAAAAATGACAAAATTTTGAGGATGAGAAACTGTTAGCATCATATATTGTTTCTCATCAAATGATAATCGATGCTGCTTATGAATGTAATATGAATTATTTTCATTTTGAAATATTCTATTTTTTACATGCACAAAGTCTTTTCCGCAGAGCTATTCCTATCTTAAAAAAGAGTTCAAGAAATTCAATTATCATTTGCCCTCAAAAAATAAATAAGCTGAAAGGAACAAACGACAGGGATAAAAGGAAGATAAGCTGAAAATATATCCAGCAAATGATAATTTACTGTCGCTTCTTTCACTTGATAAATGATTATTTTGACTGAAAATTTGACGCCAGAAATGCGATAATTAAGCGGCTAATTTAATTAAGTTTCAGTTTGAAATTATTGAAATCATTGTAAAATGCTAATTGTTAATAAGTGAGAAATTTTACATTGTGTATAATAAATAAATTGTTCCAGATAAGGAATGAATTGAAGTTAATGATTGAAACTTACTCTAAATTGCATTTGCTGGAAATGAATTCCTCACAAGCTTCAATCAACAAATTTACTTGGTACTTTCTCGATAAGCGAAGCACTGTTGCAAAATTGCTTTCTAAAATATCATACAATGCAAAATTGTCTTCAATTTGCACTTGCTATTTTTTATTCTATGCGTTAATTTCTACCTAACAATGTGCATTTAATAATTTCAATCGCATCAACTTGTTCTTTTCAAGACGAAAAGTTCCATTCCCGAATATTAGGCAAAGGCAAAAAATCCATGAGACCTAACGGTATGCTGAAGTGAATTAAATTGTTAGAACGAATACTGACGATTGATTATAGAAATCAATCGATTGGTATCGCTATCAATGTTTTGAGAGGGAAGGAAAATGCTTATGGTAGTGGAGCAGAAATTAATTAAATACAAATATATGGAGAATTAATTAAAAATATCTATGAATTTTGATTTTAATTGATGAAATAAAATTTTGGCACTTTTAACATGAAATGAAAATTTCAGTAAATGAGAAATGCTTTTTGAAAACATTCTTAACAGAGAAATTGAATGAAAGGATTTTCGAGATTAGAAGATAAAACAAAAATAAAAAAATCCAATTTAATTGAAAAAAAATGTTGCTATGGAGCACTTTAACATGATTAAAAATTTCTTTTCAAAATAAGGAACTTTGAATTTTATTCTCTCATCCTTGATTTTATTGTATTATTTTAACAGGATAAATTTTTCTTTAGAAATTTCCTAATCAATAATTTCAAAACGATGCATTTTCAAATGTTTTGCAGATTCTGTCTCAAAGAGTATGATTGCATTACACTTTTTACAGCTAATATTTTCCGATTCAGTAAAATTTAAGGAAATCATTTAAAATTTGAGAAAAAGGCAGCTAAAGAAAGTTAACCATCAATAAGATCAGCATCGATACAGCAATTTAAAAATGTAGCAATGTCACCGCTGCTTTCGTCTACAATTTCCCGTAATGGTTGATCATCGCTATCAATTGCGCCTGATGAATTACTGTCCGGACAGACCACAATTCCAGCAAATATAGGCGAAAGTTTTGCAATAATTGTCGATTCAATAATAAATAAACGATCTTTGACAAGTAATCGAAATGGTCGTTCAATATTGGAAGTGGACGTTTGCGCTTGCTGCGACGGAGAATCCATTGCTACCCTGACCACTGAGATCATTACTGAAATGATACAGATGGCAGCATTTTAAAAATTACTTTAAATCCTATAAAACGATTATGTCAACAAAAAAAGCATTTTTTGTATTTACTAAGTAAGACAAAAAATAAATAAAAAATATTAATTTTTTTATTTACTAAATAACAATACTTCAGCTATATTGCATATTATTATTATTGCAATTTTTGCTTTTCGAATTTACTCATTTAAATATTGCTAACTGTCTTGAAAAACAAACAACATTCTTGGTAATTCTATCAAACTTCATCTGTAAAATATTATTCGCTTAGTTTTTAATACAACTAACATTTCTCTTCCTTTCATTGAAATAATATAATAAAGATAAGGAATATTAATTAAATAGTGTAACATTAATGATAATCATTTCTAACAATTTTATTCGGAATTAATTATTGAAATAATAAAATGCAATAGTCTGACAATAATGAAGAATATTTCAGCAGGAGAATTTAACGGAAGCAAAAATAATTTTCACGCTTATTTTCAATAATTTTTATTTCAAAACGAATTTTTCATTTGTTATTTTACAGAGTAAGTGAAAAATGCTTAAAAGTAATGCTGAAAAGATAGCGATAAACAGAATGCTGTTGTAATAAACATCAGTTTTAAAAAGATAAACAAGTATTATTGTTGTTATTACATCATCCAATTTCGCTGGCATATATCAATGGAAATTTATATTCTTTTAGATGAAATGTTAACAGAAAAGATTATCATATTTTTTTTTGTTTATTTTTTTCAATTAGAATACTAATACGGAATAAAATTATAAATTCTGACTCTTCAGTTACTGCTGCATTGTAAATTGAGAGAATGAATGAAGTAAATAAGAGAGAGAATTTTTTTCTTTTTTTTTTAAGATTCTTTTTCTTTTTTTTTTGAGATTTTTTGGAAGAATTTATGTTATCAAATAATGTTTCTATTTTTGTTTCTCTCTGTGTGCTTTGAAAATTATAAATTCATTTCAATTTATTTATTCAACTCTCTTTTTCTCTTTGTCTTCTCTTCAATAAATGATATATTCTAAGCTTCATCGTCGGACTTGCTTATTGGAAATTTTGTTAACAAATATTTTGGAATTGATAAAGAATAAATGAAAAATAAGTGAAATTTGAATTGCATAAATCAGTTGTAAGCGGAAATTGCTGAATGGATGAGTAAATATGTGCAAACGTAATTGCGTGACTTATAAATGAATGAATCAGAAAAAAAAGAAAATTACTAAAATTTCTGTCATCCAATCATAACTAATAAAGAAAGTTTAATTTCGTCCTTCACTTAATTCTAATAAGTTTTAATAGAATATTTGATTCCCTCTGATAATTTTTTTATTTTTGAAAATGCCTGATTTTCCATAGCTTTCTGCTTTACAACACGTTTAGATAATATTATTGGTTTTAAGTATTTTTTTGCGCAATAAAAAAGAAGATTTTGTGAGATTAATGTTAAGATAGAAGTTTGCAAACCACACTAAAAGTAATAATCGATAGATTAAAAACTAACTGACAGCTAAAAGTACAATGACAATCAAATCTATGGAAGTTGCTAAGAAACAAGTAAATACATAATTCCATTATGACCTTTGCGCATAGCATAAATTAATAGTTTCAGAAATCTCGCATCAAATGTGATAATAATAACCTTCGGACTGTAAGCAAATTATTTCATATTAATGTTTTTTTTTTTTCAAAAGGTTTGATTTTGTTTTCTCTTCTTGATAATTAGATTTTCCATTCCATCTCAATTATTTCGAATTTTAATTCTTCTTAATTTCAAAAATAAAATCTTTTTTCTTTTGCACTGCACTAAAACGTATAAATTATTTAGGAAGTTTTGCTTAACAAATAGATATATGTTAATGCTACTAAAATATTTTCTGAAAATTAGAATTGTTTTTCAAAATTGTTATTTTGGAAAAGAAAAAAATTTTTTCTCAGCATTACAATAATAGCAAAATAATTAATTTGCATTAAGCAATGAGAACTGCAACTTTGTAATCATTGAATTACTCAGTGAAACAGTAAACTGATTTAGTCTTTCTTACCAATTGCATTCAGTTTCTATCGGGAAACGATTCATGTACCAGACTGACAGAATTGAATAACTTTTCGAGATTATCTTTTTTTCAATAGAAATGAAAATTCTTCAAAATACTAAGAGCTAAATTAAAAAATCTATCACTAACAACAACAACAACACAACGATAGAATTGATTAAAAGCATTATAGCACATTACACTATCAGAAAACTAACATCTAACAGAGGAAACTTTTAAATAGCTTTAAAAATAAAACAAACTGAGTTTTATTTTTCAAAAAAAAAAAATTTTTTTCATATACAATACAACTGGTGGAAGAAACTCCCATGAGTAAACCTTCTCCTCTTTGCAATTTCAATATGAAAAGTGTATGCATAGTAATGTTTTTCACAGCGAAAGTGCTCATAGCAAAAGTACTCCCAAAGGCAAAATTTCATCAGTGGATGATTAAAATTTGAATGATTGGAACTTGAAATTCTCATCACCTCACTTTAGTTAATTTTACCACAGCATGAAGCTAGGAAGTATATAAGAATGCTTACTACTAGTTAAAATAAATTACTGTTATGATTTAATTATTGCACTTCTCGTATATTCATCCCTTCAACTAAAGTCTCTTTCAATCAATTTAAGAAAAAAGATGAGACAAAAGATTGAAATGAAAAAAAGGATCAAAAAAGTGCTTGCTTCTCACTCTTCTGAGCATCTTACTGCTTTCCTCGGAAATTTCTAATATCATTAAGGATTTTGTTTAGCAAAGTTCTTGTTATTTAACAAAAAATAAAGAAAAAATAGTTTTGTAGTGGCGAAATATGATTAGCGCTAGCAACTGATACTTCATTGTTAAATTTTGCTGATAAAGCTTAAAATTACTGTTTGCAAATTTCTTTAACTTTATTTTAAATTATGTTTTTAGCTATCCTAGTTAATTTAATTAAATTTATTCCGCTCTTTGAGTTTTTATGCAATCTCCAGAAGATGATTTTTTTCCAATTATTAATTAAAAATGAAAAGGCAAATATTTGGAATTTTTTCTTAGAATAAACGAATTTATCCGTTGCGAGATATCAGTCCGTATTTTTTGTCTTCTTTTTCCTACTGATGCATTCCTCGGAATTCATACAAATCGAAAATGATGGATTCTGAAACATTGATGTTGTCATGAATTAATGTGATCATAGCTATGATTGAAAGAGAAATCTACCTGGAACATAATCATTGTTCATTTAATAACCGCTGCAAGAGTAACATTGAAAGGTAGACAGATAGGTAAGTAGAAAATGAACTTCTCTTATATCATTTCAAATTTCAGAATATTTGATTTGGCACTGAGAGGGAAAGCATTGATTTGGAGTAATCATTCAGGTCGCAAAAAAATTAAGGTAAGTTAGTAGCTCATAATAAGTAAGTCCATACTTCGAAGCTTACCGCTTCGGAAAAAAATCACAGATTTTAACGTGCGACCAGTACTTTCTAAATTCATTCATTCTTGTCGAATTAAGAAAATTCTGTGGTAGAAGTTGTGATGCATATTTGAGTAACAGAAAAATGGCAGTGCTTTCTTTATAAGTCCGCCTGTTTGCAAGTATTGATGTATGTTGCATCATTTAGATTAATGCAACACTTGAAAATTGGATATTTTCAATTTGGGAAATTTAATAAATATTTTTCCAATAAATAGACGAAAGAAAACCAAAATTAGATATTTTATTAACTTTAAAACTTCCGTCTTGGCATACACAAATTCTTGATTATTTGAAATATTTCAAAGAAATACTACTAAATGCTTTCTCAATATTTTAAAACTTGCAATTTAGTTATATTTGCTAATATCACATTCTAGCTAGACTTCTATCTTATAATAAATGTCAACAAATTGAGTTACATAAACGAAATATGAAGTTTAAGAAATAAAGAAAATCTAGAACCATTAGTTATCGGATGAATGAACTAGTCAATTTATGGTGTTTCTTTTCTTTTCTCCTTTTTTCTTTTTTTTTCATGTAAAAGAAAAGTTTTGTGATGATTTACCATAGCATAGACAGAAGCTTTTTTTGATGTTTTTTTAAAATATTTCAATAAATCTCAAGAAATCACCTTCTTCTTCTAATTGCATTCCTCGACTAATCTTCTCTTGACATCTTCTGAACATTGCCCACCACTCTTCAAGCTTAGATGAGATTGCTTCATATTTCCTGACATTTCTCATCATTAGATTGAGGAGGAAGTGCTATTGTTGAGGATGATAGTTTATTAAGGACGGGACAAATATTTCTTTTCGATTTAATGCACTATTTTTTAAGGAAATAAAATGAAGACTTATAGCAAAATTCGAGGTTTTCCGTTTTAAGAGCAAAAGCACTTTTTATTTCGAACACTCAAAATGAATAGCAAATTTCCACTTCACCTACTTTTTCCATTTGTTAAAGCTCCATTTTTCTTTATGTAAGGAACAACAAAAAAAACAGCAACAACAATAGCAACTAACAATTTAGTTTCACATTTTGGTAATACTTGGAAAGTAATCAATCTGATGTCGATATTTAATCGGTAAGCAATTTAAAAAAGCATTAAGAAAGCTTAACTGAAGATATTGATTAATACAAAGTGATATGTAAGCCTTTTCAGTTCTAAATAGATCAATACATAATTCTATTTATATGATCTCTTCAATGAATTCTATTAGAGTAATAGTATGGTAAAAAGAAATAATGATTAATCTAATACGTGAAAAAAAATGCATAATCAGTATTTGAGCGCATCGATAAAGGTACATTTTGTTAATTGTCAATTAAAATGCACGAAAGAAGAAATCAACAATAGAATTTTGGAATGCATGAAATGCACATTTTCAATGCTTAACATACAGATAATAATAAATTCTTGTTATATTCTATAATTATTACAACTCTTGAGT